GCTGAAGTCGGACGCTTAACCAACTGCGCCACCCAGGCGCCCCATCTGTCTCTCTCTCAAAAATAAAAAAAATGAAAAAAAAATGAAAAAAATTTTTGTAAAAAAGTTAAAAAAAAAAAAAAGAACACAAGAAACATGTTGGAAAGTACAAGACCAGTAGGTATCTAAGCCCCACCAACAACTCTTCAGCCGTCTTTTGTAGGTAATTTGCAGTATGTTGCATGCATCACACGTGGAAGAGATATTACGTGGAATTAAATTCAGATGCTCGGCTTTGGTGCAGTTATGGGCCCAGACTCCCACCAGACACCCGGATAAAAGGAGAAACTCATGAGCTCCTCAAGTGCATGATTGGGTCTCTGTAGTCCCCACAAGAGGGCAGGCATGGCTTTCTTTTCCAGCATCGGGACAGGCTCCTTGAGCTGCCGGAGACTGATTAGACTCTCCAGGTACAACAAAGTCCTGGAGATTAGTTTGTTGGGTTTTGTACTGCACCGAAGAATGAAGAAAAAGTGCTCTGCCTTCAAGAGAAGCAGGAGGATTCTTGCACTTGACGTTGCTAGGAGAGGGGCCTTTGCAAAACCTTCGTGTGAGGACACTTTCCTCGGCTCTGCATTTTCGAATGCTTTTAAAATGGTTTTGGGGGCACCTGGGTGGCTCAGTGGGTTAAGCCTCCGACTTCGGCTCAGGTCACGATCTCACAGTCCGTGGGTTCGAGCCCCACATCGGGCTCTGTGCTGCCAGCTCGGAGCCTGGAGCCTGCTTCGTATCCTCTGTCTCCCTCTCTCTCTTTCTGCCCCTCCCCCACTTGTGCGCGCACGCGTGCGCGCTCTCTCTTAATAAGTAAATAAACTTTAAAAAACAAAAATAAAATAAAATGGTTTTGAGATCCAGCAGGAAACCACCCTGGAATGTACACCACTTGCACAATTTAACGTCTCCGTTTGCAGGGAAGGGTGTTTAGGTTGCAACATTGTTTGACAACAGCGCTACGGTATGAAGGATGCTTTTTCAACAAACCCAAGGCCTGACAGATGCCTCTATTATTCGAGGTCGGTCACTGAAAGAGTTGGGGAGGGAGGGGTCAGTCCTGATGAAATAGAAGCAGTTTGTATTATAAAGTTCCTACCTTTTGAAAATGGCGAGAAATTCTTTTCCAGATGTTCTTTCGGCTAGAAACACTGACACATTTCGATAACCACTGAGAACCTCACTGAGCAGCCCCTGCGAATGTATTCTTCAGGACAAATCGATCCTTGAGGGGCCGGGCTGTTAAACTCATCCAGTGAAAGCCTTAGGACCCTCGACTGAAATCCTCGGCTGTTTCCACGTTTCCCTATCTTTTGATGGCAGTTGATTTTTAATTGAGTGTCTCAGACAAAACAGATTTTTAAAAAAAATTTTTTTTTAATGTTTATTTTTGACAGAGCATGAGCGGGGGAGGGGCAGAGAGAGAGAGGGAGACACAGAATCCGAAACAGGCTCCAGGCTCCGAGCTGTCAGCGCAGAGCCCCACGCGGGGCTCGAACCCATGAACCGTGAGATCGTGACCCGAGCCGAAGTCGGACGCTTCACAGACGGAGCCACCCAGGCGCCCCACTGAAAAAATAATTTTTAAAGAGATTCTAGGATTCTTCTATTAGATAAAAACAGCCATTTTGTCAGTTAAATAATTTGTCGTGAGCAGGGAAAAAAGTTTCATTACACGGGCACGCCCAGGTTTGCTGCTGGGAGAGGAGGTTTTAAATACAGCTGCCCCCAGGAGTTCAAAGATTGACTTTAAATGAAATCCGGGAACGCACATGCGTGTTCTGTCCCAGCCACGGAGCCTCATGAGACCAGCTTACAGTTCGGATACCAGCTCCTTTAAAAAGCTAGCATGTGGGGGGCATCTGGGTGCCTCAGTCTGTTGAGTATCTGACTTTGGCTCAGATCATCATCTCACCCTCCCCTGCTGGTTCTTGCATTCCCTCAAAATAATTAAGTAAACTTAAGAAAACAAAAAAAGGCTAGTATTTGAAAGCAGGACGCTTTTGGAGGAGTTGGAGAACATTAGACTTCACTGGTAGACGTGTCCCCCTGAGCAGGGAGACCCAGGATGAACGCTGGCGACCGCAGGGTCAGCCCCGCGTGACTTCTCCCCGAAGTGGCCGCGATGGCTGACCTCGCTCTTTGTTGACTTTGCGAGCCTGGATTTGAGAACGCGATGCCAAGAAATGTCGATATCCAACACCCTGTGGATGAACGAATCCGTGTTGTATCGGAATACCGAGCGTCCCGTCCCTCAGAAGCGCCAACTCTGAACGCAAGTTTTTAAGGAACCGAGAAGGGCCAGATTACGCACAAGTTGCCAGGTTGCCGTCTGGTGCGTCGGCTGGAGGGGGTTGGGGGGGGGGGAGCAGAGGTCTGCAGAGAGAGGAAGGAGGTGCTGGGCACGCTGCTGGGCAGCACAGAGAGGGAGACCCAGTCTGCGACAGGAGCCAGGGGGCGGCACCTCCACATGTGTGTGCCTACAGGGGCTCCCCGTCCTCTGGGGGTGCTTCCTGCTCCCGCAGCAGCCTGTGCCGGGCGCCCAGGTCAGCACTTGGATATGTACTTGTCGTCGTGCCGGTCACCTGCTCACTCCATCTGCCTTGGCCAGCGGGGGTCCTCCTGAAGTGTGGCTCTGCGTTTGTCTTGCCCCACAATACACCTGACCTCCATCTGATCCCGTCACCTGGGCAGGGGGGCAGTTCCGGCTCCTTCGAGGCCCTCAACAGCAGTGGCTCAGAAATCTCTGGGCATTGGGATCACCTAGGAAGCTTGTGAAAAATACAGACTCCTGGACCGGAGCCCTGCAGGCCCACGGAGTTGGAATCTTGGGAAACAGCACCCGAGAATCAGCATTTTCCATAGCAGTTTGGGGCCCTGGAGCGGGGGGCGGGGGAACTGCTCTCCAGGCCGGGTTTCTCCCCTGTTTCCACAGATGTTGGAAAAACTGAAGATGCTTTCAGTAGCCAGGCCCCGAGCGTCTCATTCTAGGTGGTTCTGCCCCAAAAGAGGGGCTCGGCCTCTCTCTGGTGGCCTACCAACTGGTTTTCGTTCCAGAAGGAATGCAAGAAGGCAGAGCTCGGGAAGTGACACGTGGCCCGTGCTGTGGAATTTGCTGGGCCTCCTCCGTGGTTTGGCCCTGAGATCACGCGCTCAGGTGACCTGGCAGCAAATGTGACAACAGTTTGGCAGTGACAAAGCATAACCCGTGGGCGGGGGAGGGGGACGGCCGCAAGATTTGGGATCTGTCGCCGGCACAGGCTTTGCTCTTCTAGGCTGACGGGACCCACGTCATGCAAAGCACGAACGAGTCTAATTGACTGCTGGAAAGCGCGTTCGTCTGACCCGGCCAGGTTTTTGTCCCACGTCGGAGCGATGTGCCACTTTGAGTA